AATTATTTAAATACTATGATATTGCTTAATACTCCAATCTTCTCGTAGATAATTATTAAGACTATTAGTAGCTCATTTTTTCCGTAAGAAGCGTTGCTTGAGACTTATAAATTTATTACCCAAAAACCCTTTCTTCCATTTCAACGTCTCATAGTTGATGGATTAGGTAAATATGTAAATTTAGTAATATTAACTTGGCGACTTATAGGTTTGCCTTGAAAAAAATTTATTACCGTCGTCGTCGTACACTGGAAGAATTTGATGGTATACAACGTTATTAGCTTAAAGACATACATATGTTGCATTATTTTACTCAAATAAACATTTGCAAACCACAAGCTGTACCTACGCCTAGTTCTATGTGCTAGAAAAAAAACAATGATTTATACATATTAAAACGTCTCAGATCTTGGTCAGGGGGGAAGGAAACTATTGACTAGTTTTCTCCAATCATTGGGTGGCAGAAGGAGTAAAGAGATAGAACATTGTGGATTTTGGACTTGAATGCTCGTTGGGGGAAGAGATTCAACCTTGCAGAAGAACTCAGTGGAGTTCACTGCCCCTTTTGGTGGTGTTATGTTTCTGTCAGTGAGTAAGGTTTGCAGAGCTCCATGGAGTAGGCTATTCGTGGGTGATGCCATACTGTTATTGCAAACGTCTATAGATAATGGTCGCTTACCATCAGGTGGGCCATGTGTTTATTTGCCATCCTCATTACATAATAAAATACCAGGAAGCTTACTATGAACTCTTATTGCAGAGCTCAATAAATTATTAATATGAACTGATTTCGATTCAGTCGAAGTCTGGGTACAATGTTTCAATTAAAAGATGGTATCCGATTTGTGGCGCTGCATTCCTTGTTAAAATAAATTGTTATTGGAATACAAGATACATTCTTCAACTACGTACCAACTCATATCAGAAAGATTATAGCAATCGGCTTGATCATTCATTCAATTACGACTACGACCTTACAAACTCAACCTAAACTGAATCGGAAACAACAAAGATTACAGAAAAAGAGTACAGAAGATAATCTTATATACATTTTACAAGTTGCATTAGGATTGTCAACTTTAGCTTGTGCACGAAAAAATCCTGGTAGTGGCACTCGTGCGTATCTAGTTGTTTGATTAATTGTTGTTAAATAAGCAGAAAGAATGGAAAAATAAAACAATAAAAAAACTAAACTATGTATTTCAATTATAATGTTATTTAGGTTCAATATAACATTGAACCCAAATAAAATAAAACTGAATGTGTGTTTGGCCTCATAGAAGAAGTGAAACTTTAACGGACAACTGCCGAAACAGCCTTCGCCTGCTTGCCGCCTCTCACCGCGCGATATATCGTCTACCCTCTTCACGCGGCTGTAACGCTTTTTCATGACAGCAAAATCCAGATAGCCTCGTCTATATAGAAGTTTCACTTCAAAAAAATAACCATTTAACGTTGAATTCAAACAACCGCCCTTTTTATTGTTCTTTACAAACGCGTGTCTCAAGTTGATGGAACCCGCACTCGCACTAGTCCTAGAAATAGTCAGTCCGAGAAATCTTGTCGTTTTCAAGAGCGGTATCTATGTGTTTTTTTTTGTTGTGTGGCTGTTTATGTTTTACACACAAATTTCGCCAATGCCCCGTAGTGGTATCTATGTATGCTTGCTCGAGTGCACTTTGTATGTAGATTACCTTCTGTATCCGCTCACATTTGGGTGACAGATTACCGCTTTTTTTATTTTGTTTTTTCTTTTGGAAAGGCAAAGGTCAAGCCATAGAGTTTTGTGATTTGTAGTTTTTTGTCCGTTGATAAAGGTGAAGAAGGCTATGACTAATGAGTCTGATGTTTTTTTAATTCTATAATATAGATCTTGAAGAGTTGATGAAATATATCTATAAATACGGGTATAATACAAGTTTTTTTTACAAGTAAACAGCAGATGACCGCTGATACACGCAAAACACCTCGACTATGCATAAGCGCGATAAAGTTGTATGCTCAAAATTTAATATACCGCCATCACGTTCGGTATATATTTATTTACCGACGTAAAAAATATAGAAATTTCTGTTTAAAAAAAATTGTAGGTATAAAATTGTTTAATATGTAATAAGTCATATAGTAATGAGTTTTCCGAACATTTTTTTTTATGTTAGGTTTTATGGTTTTATTTAATTTTTTGGAGGTTTCTAATAAACATGGGCTACTAAAGGACTTGTATCCATGGTCAGAATAAATTAAAAAAAATGTATTCAATACAAAGAAAGGTATATCTATGATTCAATAGCAGACTTTTATCAACTAGTACTTAATCTATGACTATCATTCATTCCGTTCATTCCCTGTCCAATCGACACAGTTTTGGTTTTGGAGGTCATGGATATTTAATATCGTTGGTCATAGTACGAAATTAAAGCAAAACTTTCAGTTCTTATTGAGAACTGAATCGGAATTTTGGTCGATCATAGTAAGCCTCCAGTACCCTTAGCGCGGACCAATATCGAATTTAAATAGTTTGCAAGTGCGAAATGTCATTGTCAAATTTTGTATGGAAACTTGAACAGCAGCGCCACAACAGACGTAACTAGAACTAAAAATCAATACAAATTTAACAATGACATTTTCTCACTCGCAAACTATTCGAATTCGATAATGGTTCGTGCTAAGGGTACAGAGCTCTTCTGACTGTACTAACATTCCGTAACTTTCTTGACTTTAGTAATACATCTTTCCACATATCCATTTCATCTAAGGTAATCATGAAAAATATTACACGAAAGGCCTCCATATAAAAAGCATTATCGTATAACGGTAATGCTCCTGTGAATGTTCGATGCCGTGTCCGTGTAATGCTCACAGAACGGTGAGTGAGCATTTACCTCCAACGTTAATTTTCGTTTCTGCTTTTAGTCTTCACATTTCGCACGTTGTGTCGTGTTTTTAAAAACGAAACTTGCAAAACGGTGTTTCTTTTGTTGAGCTGTATGGAAATTAGCGTTATGAGGCTTAAGTTGTTGCAGGTTGCGCTAGTGTAATTACTTATAGCGAGTTGGTAAATGCCTGAAAATATGTTCAATTTCTATATTTAAGACACTTACAAAATATAATTTGGGAAACATATTAAAATTGCAAGTCAAAAGTATAAATTATTCGAATATTAATCCAAAACATAAGCGTCCGATATTTGGTTTGAGAATTTGTAGCAAATTAGTACTTTTTTTATAGTTTATAGCACTTCACATGGCTTTTATAAATATTGGTATTTGCTACTCATTTTAAAACTCTACAGGGAAAGGTTAATGATGACAAAAAATCAACCCCAGGTTACATATAGGGGAGCTACCCAAAAAAAAAATATTCTACCATTTTGTCAGCGTGATCGATATATAGGTAAATATTTCCGCAAAATTACAGCTCTCTAGTGCGGTCTTAATAATCTTCAAACAAAACCGGGGACAGACAGACGGACATGATGAAACTATAAGGGTTCCTTTTCAGCACTACGGGACCTTAAAAAAGATACGGCCGTTTATGTTGCGTATCTACAAATTTATACTGAACTCTTGGTGGGCTACCCCGACTCAAGTTATAGGACTATTCTGAAGTGTAGCTAAGGTACAATTTGCGAAAAAGACGATTAAGCCACTTTGTAAGGTAAAAACGTGAAAACAGCGGTAGGTACCCTCGTTAAAACAATTTGATTACTTATTATTATTATATTTGTGTCCTATTTGAGGAGTTAAAGGACATTAAATAATAAAATATGGAGTACGTAATACAACGTTTAATCGGCGATGACAGACTGACTCAGTATCAAGTTTTATTATGCGTTTACCCACAATACAAATATACTATAATTTGATGTATTCATAACTTTTTTGGCTAAATATGGGTACCCAACCAATACCAGCAGAAGTACCTAATTCCAGTAAATGCAGCTATATTAACGTCGACATTATCTTTTTTGATAAATCTTCACTAACTCATAAAATACTTTTTTACACGTATTGCATCTAAATTTTAAACAGAAAATCAACCATTCCTATTTTCTTCTAAATATGGTATATGTGAAAAGTTGCAATCAAATAACAGACATAATTAGAATTTCTTGAATAAAATGGATTATATCAATTACTCTTCGACCTTTTGGTAAGTTTTTTTATGCTTGATGGAATCGAAATACTCACATAGCCCATTTTTACACAGAAAGTTTATTGAAATCAATATATAAAGATGTTTCGAAATCGGATAGGAGTTGTTCTAAAAGTTGTCCTCCACATCCGTATTGTAAACTTCACCTTTATCTTTATAATGTACTTACAAATAATTATTTACGGTTCTTTGTGTGTTCATCAACCACACTGTTGACAATACACATATGATAGAAGCAACTGTTTCTAAATTACAAGCTTCACAAGTATTACGTCTTCGCGTCCGGCCTATTTGTGAACGGTATCAAATCTATAGTATCAAATAGATGTAATATGAAACCGACCTATCATTCATGCATGATCATAAATCTCCTTATCAATAAAATCAACAAACGAGTTAAATATAATAAAAGATACAAAAATATAGTTTTATTTAAGTTACTACCGATTCAAGAAAATTGTTAGAATCAACGTTTATAGAAGAACATACACAGCACACAGTCATTTAAATTTTTTAAATATTTTTTTTTGAATTTGCGAATTATGCTTTATTCGCAAAATAGTAGTCTCATTAAAGTGATTCCACTTTTCTTGCAAAAGATAGAATCTTCTGAAAACCCCGCAAATATTGTTTAGCATGTGTAATATATAGACCAATTCTGTGCCGTACGAGTACAATTTTACTGTTGAGTTTCTATGGTTCAAAGTTATTTTGTTAAATATTATTTACATCGTTGCGTTACAAAAAGTCGCATTGGCGTTTGAAGCAGTCACTGATATATAATCAAATATTGACTATGACATCATAAATGTAAAAAAAAACGTAATAAAAAAAATACCACTGACCTGCACCAGGTCTCCATGGATGCCGCCAGCTGCTGTGATAGTGATCAGGCACACGAATGGGACCAAGTCTTCTCGGGGACGATGCAGTTCCAGCTCGTATGTACGGCCGATATCTCCATAGTACGTCCTGTTACAACCTGTTGAGAAGAAAAAAAGTATTTATGTAACAATTGTTAGTTAACATGAGACTAGGATTTATTTATTATATATGGTTTACCAGTGTTTGTTTACACATTACCTAAAACTATTTACAAGATTAACTATATACTCTAGTGAAACAATCTGTTAAGGTAAACACCGCATGCAATAAAGAAGACGCTAACAATAAACATTTAGTTCATTACAATATTACTTTATTATTATTTATTTGCTAAGTTATGACGTTGTTTTTTGATTATAAATTACAATACAGGTTTCATATAAATATAAAGCTTAATTAGTTAGTTTTATGCCATGCTTGGGACATTATTCTTTTGAGCTTAGGAAGTGAATCAATAAAGATATCAATAATATCACTACAACCGATAAGGACCTTTGACAGCCTTGGCATTGGGGAGTTTATGCCATGGACTGTTTAACGAAAAGGACACAATGGTATTATGGGGGTACGGGGAATCCTTATAGGAACAATAAATTTAAACTTTTGCAATAATTGCGGGCAATTTACTTTATTATTTAACATTTTATAAAGGAATGAGAGATCAACCCAATTCCTCCGGTTTTCCAATGATGCCAATTTGAAGTAATGTAGTCTTTTATTACAAGAACGTGTCTTTAATGCTATGCCATTCCTGAAATCTAAGTAGGAAACGAACCGTTTTTGTATACGTTCCAATCTTAAATAATGGACAGCAAAATGTGGCCTCAAAACAACACTACAATACTCAAGTTTACTACGTACCAGAGAGTTATAAAGAAGGATCTTCCTCTGGTTCTCTTTAAAGATTCTAGTGCTTGCGAATTAGAAATGCTAACATCCTGCTTGCTCTTTTAATTATATTCCAACAAATAAGTATATAAACGTATCAGAGGAGGACATTATGTAGGTACCTAAGGTCATATGGAGACCTTAATATTGATTGAGTTAGGTTTTTTAATATGAAATGGCTCATCAAATGGCGAGTAGCTTTTACAACTCATAGAATTCTTTGATAATAAGGCTCATGTAGAAAAGTAATTGAAGAATACATACGTCATAATTTATACAATATTGTAATTTGTCTAAAGTCTTTCTTTATGATGTACGATAGGTACTCTCGAGGCGAACACTTTATTCCACCATAAAATAAAGTCAAGGAAAACTTATAGCATTAACACAACCTAACACATTTAATTCATCATTAAATTCGTCTTTGTGTATAAAATTTATGAATCTCAAGGGAATAAGGGAATAAATATCAATATAGTAACTTGCAACAGAGTACCTGACAAAAACTTTTCGAACGCACACTCACAAATCACCGCGAAATATCTCTAACTAGCTGTGTGAGCAGTTCTGTGGAATATTTGTTACCAAAACTACATGAATTTATGTAGACAAACCGAACTTGTCGGGCCGAACGCAGCGTAACATTTAGATAGTTTTTGTAAGAGTTCCAACCTAGAGTTTTCAACTTTATTGCTTAAACAATAAATACTTGTCTCAGAAAGGGATGTGCGTGTGTGTATAATGTTTTGTGGGATCCCTTTTGAAATGCTTTATTTCGAGCGATGTGAATTGTGTTGAAATGTCCTTAATTATTTTTTATGTTAAAAGGATGGCATACAAGCGTACGGCCTGCCTGATGGTAAATAGCTACCATAGCCTATTGACTTGATATAGAGACTTGTGATACCAAAAGTATTACTCGCGCTCGTTGCTTACCCTGACCCAATCCCATACCCCGTGAAGCCCCGGAAGGTTGCTCACCGTCAGAAATACAACACCACCGAAAGAATGCGCTTGTTTCCTGCCATTCTTTTAACATAAAAAAAAAGACTTTGGTACTAGAGCTTGATACAGACCAGTTAGAAACGCGGAACGAACTCCGCTTACCAATTTTTAATTCCTCCCTTTCTTCATTTTTTTTCCGTGAAGCACACAGAATAATATAAATAAACATTTACATACTTTGCAATACTTTATAGAATACTTTACGGTAGTACTTTGTGTTTTTAACCGATTTCAAAAATGGAGGAGGTTCTCAATTGGTTAGAATCTATTTAAAGGTCAATTTTATTAGGGAAATAAATATTTATGTTAAATATTAACATGTTTTTTTCTGTCCAAGCAACAATCGATACTTTTAAAAAATACTGAATAAAAATACTTATTTATTATTAAACAAAAAGAAAGGTCTAGATGAGAATCTTACTTTAACAGAGTTGAAGCGCTACATTTAGCTATTAAACAAAAATACGGGAGAAACTAGCAAATAATCAGTGGCAGAGCTTAAACAAACTTACTAAGTTACAATGTTGCCACTACCAATAAAACTGACACTATTATCCCCTATCGCTAAGCCTTTAATTCGCGCATTTAACATGCTCATTTAATGAGTGAGCTGTGCCCGTTTAATTTAACGATCTACTCCTATTTATTCGGTGGCGCAGTAGGCCAGTTGCAATTATTCGCACCGCGTATACTCATTACCAAGTGCCGCATGCTCCGTCACAGTTGGGGACACTGGAATTATTGTATTGTTCCATGCAGACGTTGTCCAGTAATGAATTGTGGGCTAAATTAGGCAGACGATTTACGAGTCGCGCAGTGGTAACGGCTGAATAACTCAACAGAACTTGAATTTTGATGTTTTGCCATTGCCATTTGGAATTCAAAAAGTTATGGAATAGAATTTACATTTCGCTGTGGTGCCCAGAACTTTTATATTACATAAAATTTTGATAAAGCTGATTTTACATTCACGATATCATCATCATCACCATCGCGAAGACATTTTCAAACTATTTTAATGCGTTTTGTCGTTCTTTTATGTCGGTAATACTGCTAACACAATTAGGATTTTAAAATTGCGCTCTTCCCTATTTTATCTCAAATATAGTTTCACAAAGCAAAGATACAAATGTAATCGTCTCAATAAAAATTACTTGCCAGTCGCGTTCAACTTTTCGGGATTCTTGGATGAGAGGAAGATCTTTTATTTTCACTATCATCATTTCAGCCGTACGACTACCACGACTGAGGCTTGAGGCTTAACCTCAAGGATCAAGAATCTCCACGACTATTGGTCCTGCGCCATTCACATCCATCGGCTTCCCGCGACCTTCGCTAGAGTATCTTCCACCAGAGGGGACCCACTGAGCGTCTTTTTTTATCTATTTCGCCTAACCAATAATATAATTTAGAGAAAAACAAATATTTTCGTCATGTAGGTACTTCTATGTATATTTAAACTTTTAACACACGAAAATGTTTCATCATGTTGACGATGAAGCTTTCAACACAATGCTTTATCTGGTCTCTTGAATTATTTTGTTTGATGTTCATTATGATACGAAAATTATTGCAATAAGTCAGTAGATTTGTTAGAAATTAATGACGCGTTATTATTTTGCTTTAGTATATACTAAAACTTTTGTTCTCTGTATGTAAGGTATTATATATAAAATATAACCCTTAAAATATCTTATTGATAGTTAAAACCATATTAAAATCCGCTAAGTATTTTCTGAAAACATCGCGATAATAATCGACAAGAGACATAAATAGCTTCTGATAAAGCTAAGCTCTTGATCCCACTTGATAATAATCGACTCTCGATATTAATAGTTTCATTAAGATAAACCTCTTAATGCCAATCTTGGTCTCCATTTTCGTATATGGCTCTAAATTGGATTGAAAAAGATAAACATCAGTGCTCCCGTTATTGTGAAGTCTTAAAACAAAGACATAGTAACTTTCAGCGCACATAGTTCTAAAAGCTCTCTGTTTGATTGCTGCGATATGATACTTGGTAGTGCCGGAGCAGTAACGCTTTGATACAACAGTGCTACAATATAGAACAGTGCTACGACGAGTCGTTGCGGCATCGACGCCGCTACGAACACGAACTATCGCCATGTTTGTAGTTTTGGATGCTCCCGCTGTTTGGTAGCGGAAGTGTGTTGCGGTTGATGATGCATTAAGGTGCTTGACAAACTTTCTGTGCTTTCACTACTTTTTGTGAATCTGCGTGGATGTTGTTGTTAGGAATGTTTCGCCAACTTCGTGTTTTGCTGTACTTGAGTTGCAGTCTACAAAGTCATTCTGAGGATTACATAATTTACAAATGTCTTTGTTGGTTATTACATAACAATTAAACATGAAATTAAAGTTTGTTTGTTCTTTTTCTTGTGAACAGGAACTAGTTTCGTTACGTTTGATCAAATTAAAACTACCAAAAAATACACAACCTATGTTTCTGGCTGTAACCTAACCAACACTAAACCTCATAAGCAATCATAAATTATTTCTCAATTGCATGAGTCGATTTTAATGTTTCTTAAAACAAATGAAACTTAGCATTTGTGGCTCTATCTTCTGAGACAAAATTTAAATTTTAAAAAATAGCTGTTATATTATATATTTTTACATTCACCGATGTTAAACATTATACGCCGTCGACTTTCAAACGATACAATGTCACGTGTATTCACAAACCTGCCGGCGCGCTGAGTAGGTATTTCGGTCTGAAAGTTCCAAACTGCGGATGTGTACCGAATCGGAATACCAGTGTTTACTAGTCAACAGATCGCGGTCGGTACAAACACAATACCTCCGCGCGATATGTCTGAAGAGTGGACTGCGGCAGGCATGCGAGTGGCGTCGACATTTTGTGACATTGTTACTTACTCCAGCGAAGCAGTTTTATTTGCTACTACCACAGAAATACTGTGGTTGATTCTGACCGAACATTTTTAGTTGAGCAAGCCCCTTCCAAGGCGGAAGGCTTGCTCTTTATACATCACAAAGCATTGTCGAAATAAGTTTACGCCTCGGTTCCTATTTTTATCGGATCTCCATTCTTTGATAGTAAATTTGAATCATTCTGATTAAATTAAATAAATTCTTTACATAGTCCTAAACTGGATATTGCTTTGCGTAAGTATTTCTTATATAATGTTTTGCCATGCAGCTCGGCTATTTATCGAAAGTTAA